GATTTGGAGTAGAAAACGCGAGAAAATGACAGACCAAAGCATGTTTTTCAGCTTGTGTTTCTATAGCAAGCACAAATGTCTGTCTCCTGGAGTCCCTCACAGCGCTGGGGGCCACGAATGCCTCCTCTAAATCACTGGCCACTTGCTTGCGGTGTAATTTAAGTGGGTTACAACCATTTGTTTTTCTTGCATGACACTTTTATGCTTGTTTATTATGTAAGCTGTTTTTAAGCTGTGAATAGGCCCTTTGTGTTCTGCTAAATGCGAGAAGCTGTGATCTGTAAGTCACTAAACCTTTCAGGCACACATGCTTCTTTGTAAAAGCACCAGAAATATGTAAAAGCATAACTCTGGCATGGTAGTATGTTAGTATGCATTTCATATTGAATATATGAATACTGAAAATAAACTGTAAGGAGATTGATCACTGTTAAACCTGCTTAAAATCCTTTTAAGCAGGCACTGGAAGTAATTTTTCAAGGAATCAGGGTTTAGCTGGTTAGCATGGTCCAGTTAGTCCCTGCTGGTGGATGCTGGTAACTACACCATCTGGAAGCAAAAAGATTTTTTTCCATTGACAGTCATTTAAATATAGAAGCCTATTTCTGCTACATAAGGAAAAAAAATGCTTAACCAAACCAAATGCTTAGACAAATTACTATTGTGAGATTAAAACGCTGTAATTCGGAGAGAAAACGTCCAAATTATGAGATTCATAGTAACAAGTCAAAATTACTACATACTAAGCCATAGTTATGCATTGGTGGAAAGAGTACTGAAAAAATGTACTCAAGTAAAAGTACCATTACATTCCAAAAAATGTAGTGTGAGTAGAGTAAAAAGTACTTGTCCAAAAAAACTACTTGAGTAAGAGCAAAAGAGTAGCTTGTTTAAAAGTACTCATGAGTAGTCAATAGTGAGTACTGAGCTGCGGATTAAACCCCTTATAATAAACACTCTACACTGCAATTTAAACATTTAGAAAACGTTGTACATACTGTAATTCACATTATCTTTCATTGTTTGTCAGAAAGAGTGAAGAATATCTATCATCCAGCAGTTTTAAATTTGACAGCCAACTCTTTAAAATACATCAAAACAACACAGAAAAACTTTTATGATGAAAAGTGATGAAAAGATGAAAGATGAGTTATTCTCGGTACACTCATAACCATTTAAATCATAATGTTTGAAAAAACAGATTTAAAATCAGGTGTAAGGCCACTGAGACAAAGCATGCTATTGTTGCACATAAAATATTAATGTTTAGAACAATGCAAAGAAAACAAAACCATTAGAAACTCATACCAGAGTTCATCACACACAATGAGATGGATGAAAAAGAGAGATTAAAAAAATAATTTCTCTCCCAAACAGTGGCAGATTTATAATTTTGTGGTAAAGAAATGAGAATGATACTTTGTTACAATTTAGTCATAAATGCACATTGATATAGAAGGGGGCATCATCACCTACCTTTTACACAGCTTGTTTTGCTGATAATACAATTTGTAAGGAAAAAATTGCATTAAATAGGGAAGTATTTCCGGGTAGACTTTTTCAAAAGAAAACACACACGCGGCACACAATCTATCAGCAGCATCTACAACAGAATGGAACAAAAAATGTTCCATTCTGTTGTAGATAAAAGTGTTGAACTTGAAAAATGTTTTTGCGCGTGTGCACTTGCTAAAAAGCGTTTTAAAGAGTCCCAAACACACTTTTTCATAGAAGCTGTGAAGGACTCAAACTCATCAGGAGTCAATGAGTCGACTTCTCCAGTGACTGCTGCAGATGTTTGATCATGTTTGTGCATCTCTCTATGAACTCAAGTAAATGGGAGTGGAATTTACCGCATTATGAACGTGACACTCGCGGGAGTAATTAACATTGTACGCAATACCCGCAACCTCATGCCAAACTTCAGGCCCTGTAGATAGACTAGAAAATACAGATCATTTAGTAAGCAGAAATCTGAAATTTACCTTAACATATTAGAGGAAGATGCTGATAACTCTGAATTGATGATTGAATGCGCTTCCAGCAGCCATGATTAACAGCAGCTGACGGTTATAGTTTTCTATGAGCAATTTGATCTGACAAGAGTCACGGGACCGATTGCTCTCTCTATCCAATCACGTTGATGGATAAAAATAAAATTAAAACAAACATGTAACGACTCGCACCTCACACGTCCTGAAAAGTGAAGCTGTGGGCTCTTTGATCGCTCCCTGGTGGCTGGCTGCAGTACAGGTCATAAACCCCGCCCTCTCCATGTAAACGAATGGGACTTGAGTCAAAATAAAAAAAATTATTACATTTCTAATACAATTTTCCAAAAGATGGTAATTTTGGTAATTGAAGTTCCCTTTCAGTCAGTCACGTTCCGCTTTTTTGCTCCTCAGTTCAGTTCCCCATGGCGAACCCTGGTGGAGTCATGACTCCAAGCAACGCAGACTCTGGCTCCAAGCGAATCTCTACTGCGCAGACTCTGGCTCCAAGCGAATCTCTACTGCGCAGACTCAGGCTCCAAATGACGTCAATTACTCAAGATGGCAGCGGCTATCATGCTTTGGCTTCACTTTTCTATGGTGGAAGGAAGTGGAGACGCGTCGTCCATCTTTTTTTTACAGTCTATGCCACGAACGGAGGGAAAATAGCGGAGTAAAAAAACAGATAGTAGGCCTAAGTAAAAGTACACAATTTTTAAACTACTCAAAAAAGTACAATTTCTGATTAAAAAAATGCTTACAGTAACGTGAGTATTTGTAATTTGTTACTTATTCACACCCCTGTAATTATGAGATGAAAAGACATACTAAGTCATAATTATGAGATAATTATTAGGTAAATTATGAGATAAGACAAAATTATGACATGTCAAAATTGACATACTAAGTCATGATTATGAGATGAAAAAAAAACAGAATTATGACATTAAGTCATAATTATGAGATAAAAGTCTGAATTATGACATACCAAGTCATAATAATGAGATAAAAGTTGGAATTATGACATAATTAGTATATAATAATTCCAACTTTTACATCATAATTATGACTTAGTATGTCATTATGAGATTAAAAAAAGTCCAAATTAAACATACTAAGTCATAATCAAGATGAAATAGAAGAGTCAAAATTATGAGATTGCATAAATGTAACTATATATATGACTTAGTATATAATAATTCCAAGTTTCTCATAATTATGACTAAGTCATATAGTTCAAATTATGTAATGTCATCATTTTTACTTTTCAATTTCATCTAAATTATGACTTAGTATGTTTAATTTGGACTTTGTATCTCATAATGACATACTAAATCATAATTATGAGATAAAAGTCAGAATTATTAGCCTATATACTAAGTCATATAGTTAAAATTTTGTAATCTCATAATTTTTACTTCAATTTCATCTCAATTATGACTTCGTATGTTTAATTTGGACTTTTTACCTCAGTGAAGTCACAAATATGAGATAAAAGTCAAAATTATGACAGTCATAATTATGAGTAGTCTCATAATGTTGACTTCAGTTTCATCTCAATTATGACTTGGTATGTTATAATCTTGACTTTACATCTCATCATGATGACCTAGTATGTCATATTTATGTGACTCATAATTATGATGTAGTATGTCAATTTACATTTTTTATTTCATAACTATGAAATAAATGTCAGAATTATGAATTACCAAAGCATGATTTTTTTTGTCTTTTATGGTGGAAATGAGGTTCCATATTTAAAAGTGGCTATGCAGTCTGACAGATTATTTTGCAAGCAACCTATAAATCACAAATATTTCATTATGTAATATGTTTTATCATAGCTCTTAAAAATGTGAACTGTGATAATCGCTTAAGTAAAGTTCTTGGGACTGTGTGTGCTTGATCACTAAACTAGGTTTTGGAACTGATCTGTAGTGTTTAATGATCCACAGCCAGTGTGAAAGGAATCCCTGTCCCATGGAGAGCCACTCCTGTCCGCTTGCCGCTAAGACCATTTCTTACCACTACCTGTCTCTGCCGTCCAACCTGCGCACCCCGGCCACCCTGTTCCGCATGGCCACCGCAACAGCTCCGGGTCGGCCGGGTCCGGACAGCCTTCGCTTTGGCATCGCAGGTGGAGGTGACGCCCGGAGCATGTTCGTGATGCAGCGCTCAGACCGTCAGACCGGAGAGCTAATCCTGGTCCAGCCGCTGCGAGGCCCACAGGAGCTCAGTGTGGAGGTGGAGATGTCCGAATACGCCGACCGCGCATTCCAAGCCAAACATCTGGCGCAGGTCAACCTTCTGATTTCACCCTACGAGTTCTGAAGAGGCTGGTCGCTGTCTAAATTGAGTGTTGATGTTTAGACTTGAAGAGGAAAGAATGTTTTCCTTGTTGCTAAAGCTGACTGATAGAGTTGTTCTCAGATATTGATGCTGGAATAGCGCAAAACTGTAAGATATAGAAAGTACAGTGGAAAGTCATGCTCATATGGAAGTGAAATTATGATCTTTAAGGTAATAACGCTAAATAAAAAATCATATAAAATGCTTTTGCTTTACATGTTAATACATTTCATGGTTAAAGATTAAGTGTGTAATTTTTTTCTGTTATAATACTTTCTCTTGTCACAATTGAATATACTTTTGTGCTAGATATCTGTTTTTAAAATCAAATGTAAGACTTTTAAAGACATTTTTAAGACCTGCACAGATAAAATGAATACTGTATGTCCAAACAGAACAAACCTCAGATTCTTTTACTAATTTACGCACTCACGTATTTAATTAAATCATATCCATTTAAAGTTTAATAATCACATTAGGCCAATTTATGAGTCATTTTTTTCCATCCCCAAATTTAAGACCTTTTAAAATGACTTTTGTTATACCATTTAAGATTTTTTAACTTTACATTTGATCAAAAAAAGGTCAGAAAAATTACACACTTGACCTTCGATAAACCATTTCAGAAATCTCATTTCTCATTTCTTTCACAAATCTCCTTTCTTTTAATTGTGTTTAGCAATATAGGTTGATGCAAGTGGAAAACAGTAGAGTAAAGCGTATAATGCACGTGAAAGAAAAAACAAGTGGTAAAAAGTTGCAAATGCTGGGAATTAAATACAACGGGAGCTTTATAATTGGTTCGAACAATCAGTAAGGAAAAGAAAATGGGACTGTGTTTAAGAGCCAAAGAATGAAAGTCTAAAGACACAAACATCAGCTAAACCTGATGAACAGAACAGTAAGTCATTTCTTGTTTTTATTTCCTTCTTCTGCTTCAGTACATGGTTAATTTCAGCTGGTAAATATGCACTGCTGTCAATCAACGGGGTTTAAACAGACTGAAATGAACAACAGCACTTCTTAGCATCTACCTACATGAGAAAAGTGCCTTTTTTAATTATTGTTCCTTTATGTTTGTTGGATGTTTTATAATAAGAACGAAGTCTGAACATTGCATTTTTTTGTAATTATGCATTTGAATATGATATATATTGCTATTTGCGTCTGTCGCTCATGTTATATCAGGTTTGGTATCAAATACTGAAATCAATGGCTGTTTCACACATTATTGCATTTAATTTCTGTCTTGCACACACATGTTGAATGTTTCTTAATTAAAGTCAGAAATTCATTTTTTCTGTGTGTTTTGATGTCTTTCTCTGGTTTCTTTGATCTCACACAGAACAATCTGCAAATTACCAATAAATTAATCAAAATTAAAACAAAGTCGCCTGACGCTAGCATTATTCATCTCTTTGATGTTGTTTTGATGCAGGCCATTTCAAATGTTAATTTGAATTCATTATTAAAAGGACAGTAAACCTATTTAAATTTAAACCAAACGTTTGTTCCATGCAGAGTGCAGAGTGAGTAAATGTTGATAAAATGTTCAGTTTTGGGTGAACTGTCCCTTTAAGTTAATTAGCATATACACTACCGTTCAAACGTTTCTGGTCAGTAAGACTTTTATAAAGATATAAAAGGATGCAGCCATTAAAGTGATCAAAAGTGACAGTAAAGACCTTTATAATAATAATAATATAATAGAGAATTCTATTTCAAATAAATGCTGTTCTTTTGAACTTTCTTTTCATCAAATAAACATTAAGACAAATGTATGACAATTTCCACAAACAAAAGTACAAATTGAAGCATCACAACTGTTTTCAACATTGATAATAATAATAAAAATAATAAATGTTTCTTGAGCCACGAAGCAGCATATTAGAATGATTTCTGAAGGATCATGTGACACTGAAGACTGGAGTAATGATGCTGAAAATACAGCTGCGCATCACAGGAATAAATTACATTTGAAAATATATTCAAACAGAAAACAGTTCTTTTCAATTGTAATAATATTTCACAATATTACTGTTTTTACTGTATTGTTTATCAAATAGATAACCCCAAACTCCCACTTCAGGGTGGAAATTATCTCATATTTTAGTTTAAAGGGGGGGTACAATGCTGTTTCATGCATTCAGAGTTGTTTACACTGTTAAAGAGTCGGATTCTCATGCTAAGCATGGACAAAGTTTCAAAAAACAATTTGGACGTATGACGGAGTATTTCTGTGCCAAAATTCTTACTTCCGGGTTCGTACAAGTTTA